CCACCTTGATTAAAACAGCTTAACGACTCCAGCGAGAGCTCTCGAGGGGGTGGGGATCCGCCAAGAGGTATTTGATGGATTCACTTTGGCAACCGTCGGCTACCTTGTCATGCCAATAAAATTATTGCCATTGATTGGGGAGAGGCGCAGCCGCATGCTCCGAGGAGCGTATCTCCCTCCCGGGGCTGGGCACAGGCGCCCACAGGGGCTGTATGCACGTGGGGAGGGGGGTCTCCAGAGGATGGGATGGGGAGGGAGCGGGAGAGGGTAGAGGGAAGAGGCAGGAGGAACAAAAGGCCCTTGTGCTGGGCAGCCAGCTGGGAAGAGGCAGCAACACAGGCAGGAGAGGATTTCCAGGGGCTGCGCAGGGGTCGATGCTCGGGGAGTCCTCAAGAGTCACCGGCTGACACCACCAGGGCCAAGGCAGGCTTCATGCCCCAAATATGTCCAGTCTCCTACCCCGACAAAAAATAAAAGCCATCCAAGGCACAGGCAGTAAGCAGGGTAGCCAGCAGCAGGGTCACGAGGGGGGTCGAGCCCTCCCGCGCGCTCTGGGAGCCGGATTTCACGCGCCGAGACACAAAGGGCCCCTTTTCAGGCAGAGCTGCTTACCCTGAGCACTAAGCAGAGGGTGACGCGAAAGGATCCGTGGGGACTGGGACCGGCAGAGTGGGCAGGGAGCCTGACAGCTTCTCCTACCAGCTCACACGGACCACGATCAGGTCATGCATCACTCCCAAGAGGCCAACACACGAGGGCTTTTGTGATCAGAAGGGAGCCAGCAGGCGACAGGGAAATCCTCAAAAGAGCCCCACCTCCACAGGACCTATTTTCTGCCCAGACACACCAAGGGCTGTGAACACACTGAAGCTTCCTCATCCAAAGCTTAAAGAGAACTCAAAGGTGGTGCCTCCATGGGCTGCCAAATCTGCTCTCCCAAAGCACCCCCATGTCCCTGCCTTTGGCAGGACAGGAGGCGGCAGGGGAGCCCCTCGACCCTCCCCAGGACAGGAGAGGAGCACCATGTCCTGTTGTGCAGGGATGGGGATAACCCACTTAGTGTGAAGAGTTTATTATTGTAATTATTTAGGTGGAGAAACCAAAGCAGGCAGACAGAGGGCCAGTTCAGCTGTGCTTTCTGTGGGAAAGAATAAACAAGCCGTGGCAAGCACAAGGCCTGGAGGGGAGCAGATTCCCAACAGAGACACGTTCTGATATGTTCATGCTCAAGGCCAGCCAGTTTCAGGACAGGGTAGGGAGCCACAAGGATTGCAGTGGTGACTGAGCAGCCAGATAATCCTCAAAAAATGAGAGCTACAAGGGATGTGTAGCCCAATGCTATCCTGCTGGGATGTATTGGCTGCACTGTCCCACAGCCATGCCTGCCTTATCAATCTCCAACACCTGAATATCCACTGGTGCTGGGAATCTCCTTTGGGGCTGTGGCAGAAGGGACAGCTCTCAGCCTCCCTGCTCCACAAGCAGCCAGGGACGGCTGTGGGCAGGGAGACACCGGCTGTGTTGAGAGAGAAGCTCAGCTCACCCCCCAAAAATAACCAAGCGGCACCCAAAACTGGGTCAACCCACAAGGGCTACACTGAGCTCCGCAGAGCCCCAGGGCAATGCTGTGTTTGCATAACGAGGAGCAGATGGCAGAGAAGGAAGGCAGCAGGGTCTGCACTGCACCTCCCCGAATGTCCCACCGCTCCAGCACGGTGCAGTTACTGGGAGGGGTTGCACTACCAGCACACCCCCCCTTCTTCCTTCTCTCCATACAACACTTCAAGCACAGCCAAAATCAAGTCCTTGGCACACACAGGTCAAGAGGTGACATGGGTGCAGTATCAAACATGCCTTTCCAGCACATAACTGAGCACTCCTATTGCAATCATACACAGCTTTGTGTCCACCCAGAAAATAGGAAAGACAACCTGGGAAAATAACTGCCCAGTATAAAGACTGCCAAGTGAGGACAGGTGGTTTCCAGGAAAAACCAGAGTATTAGGAAGCAAGTCTCATTTCCCTTGCACAAACATCCCCTGGACATTCCCCCTGCAGCATGCTCGTGGCTCACGTCCCCATATCACTTCCCTATCCACAGCACCCTTAAGACTACAGGGTGCAAGGCCAGGTCCCCTCTGTGCCAGCTCAAGAGTACAGAGGAAGTGGCTCACTGCCAGCCCCAGCAGCGTGGGAAGCCATCCCCACATTGTTCACCTGGGCATGGCAGGAATTCCCCGAGCGTCCCAGTCCCATGACTGCTGGCACCGAGGACAGCAAGCACGCGGGACCAAGAGCTTTCCAAGCCTGGCCCCTCCACATAACTCGGGATCAGCCAAAGATAACTGCCTGCCTGGCAATGCTACAGGGACAAGCTGAGAGTGGGTTGCCACAGGCTCCACTGCTGCAACTCACTCAGCATCCCAGGGATCAGGATCCCCATCCCCACAGTGCCTCCTCAGCCCAGCCCACAGTCCCTGTCCTGCACAGAGTTTTGCAAATCTGACATTGCTTGCAAGGTCCTTCCACCCCCTCGAAACTGGGGTCTCCCTGCAGCTGTGGCAGCAGCAGGTGCTACCCAGCACCCTGCCTTCGCAGAAGCAACTGTTGGTGGCAGGGCTGGGGAGAGGCTGCAGGGCAGCCAGAGACTCGTGTGGCTTTTTGGGGGGACAAAAGGAGGCTCTGTCTGCACGCAACAGCCTGGACAAATGCTGGGCATGGGAGCTGCCATCCAAGGAAAATCCAGACGCGGCAGTGACTCTGCCCTGACCTTACCCCAGCCCAGATGGCGAGATCGGTGCCCCTCAGCAGAGCAGCATCTATCACAGGGCTCCTGGGGACAGGGAGGGGGGCACCCAGCTGTCTGCACAGCCCTTCCTCTCCCAGAGGACATGCCAGGAGTTCTGGCAAGGGCGGGGGGGCCGGCAGGAGGGCAGAGAAGGCACCAGACTGCATCAAGCCTAATGTGGATTCTTGCCAAGGGGACGGTGGGAAACACCAACAGCTTAAAAGCAGAGGGATTGTGACCACTGCTGAAGGATGCAGCCCCTCTCCCTGCACCCTCTGCCTGGAGGAGCCACGTTGGCTACACTCTGCCCTGCCAGGCATCACATCCCCCAGCTGAGGACACACTGGTGCCACTCAAAGACAGGTCAGCAGCCCCTTCCCGCCCTTCCCTCCCTCTGGCCCCGGCAGCCAGGCGGCAGGATCAGGTAGCTGCTGAGGCAGCACTTTGCCAGGCAGCCAGGCAGCCCCTGCTGCAGGAAGGCTGGGCTGCCCACCTCAAGGTCGTTGCAGGGACGAGGAGGAGACCTCATGGTGCAGGGCTCAGAGCCTACAAAGTGATCCCATGCTGCCACTGGAAAGCTCTGCAACCCCAGGGGATTTGGAGGCTCCAAGGAGGATAAGCCTACAAAACCCACTCAGCATCCCCGTGCTGGGATAGGGCTGAGACCCATCTCTTCATTCTCCATGGAGCTGCTCCATGTCCTCTTGCCCTGCAGGGCCAGAGAGTGAGAACAGCTATTTGGGGCACCAAGTTTAAAACTAGGAAAAACAAGTCTTGGGAAAGCCCTGCAGGAAAGGAGGACACTCAAACCACACCTGGGCTTCGAGTTCTGGTTGCAGTCATGGTTGTAGCATGCAGCTCACACACTAGTCAGGCACCCAAACTAGACCACCCCTTGCAAATGGCTATGAAGGCACAAAGACTACAGAAAAACTGAGTAAAGGAGGAAGAAGAAAAATCAAATGTGCCATCTAAAAACTAACCACCAGCCCCTCTAGATAAATGAGGCATTAGAGGTGTAACACTGTCGCCGTGGCTTTTTGAACTCTCCTCCCACATGCTCCTTCCTTCCCATTCCCATCTAAAACCCCCATCTGGAGCCCAGAGGCAGGAGAAGCTGGCAGCAACATGACACCAGTCCCTTTAGATCCCTCATCGATCCGGAAGGGAGGATGAGCTGCCTCCATCAGCTCCCCGCAGCCCTGCTCAGCCCTTTTACCACAGTGCACCCCCCCGAGGACCACAGAAAGCCAAGCAGATGTGGGGCTAGAGAGGACCCCTCCATCCTGCCCTCACTCCAACACATGCTGCCTGTGTACCTAAAAGTGCTGCTAACAGACAAAAAAGGGGCACTGGTGGGTTGGTCAAAGGTCCAGGGGAAGCACGGGCAGGAGGAGCAGGATATATGGGGACTACCACCCACAATGGCACCCTGCTCTGGATTCCTGCCAGGGGAGCCACCCCGCCGTTTCCAGGGCACCCTGACCATCACAGATAAGGAGAAGTAGCAAAAATGCAGGATGCTGTGCCCAAGATGAGGTGTGGAACATCTTGCAAGTCACAAAAAGATGGGCCAGACCCCACAGCCAAGCTCTTGTCCGTAGCAGGGACCCTACAAGGACCTTCCCTCAGCCTCTCCCTGGCTGAGGATGTGTTAATGAAAGCTATGTTTATACAGGGCATGTACAGCTATAATTATAGGCATGATGTTATGATAACAGGAAATCCGTGCCCTGTGGAGATGCAGGCAGAGAAAGGCACGCACAGAGCTGTTTGCTAATTGCCACCAACAATCAGCCTTTTGTGCCGTGGCGGGGTACGGGAAGTGAAGTCTCCCCATCACCGGGCTGGAGCCATCAGCACCCACCTCTGGCCACCCTGCCCAGGCCATATGGATCTGGGCAGGCAGAGCCCCCCTTGTGGCAGCTACAGAGCAAACCCATCTGCCCCGAGACATAACAAGATGGGCTGTGATCCACCAGTGGCAAGGACTCAACTTTCCTGTGTTATAACCCTTCCAAAAGGCAGAGGTTTTGTAAATTTGGTTGACAGAGAGAAGCAATAGGAAATTGCCCCTCACTGGCCCTTTGCTAATTACCTCCAACATATCAAGTCACTCTATCACAGAGGCACAGCCCTACCTGTACCTCCCAAAGGGCCAGTGAGGTGAGCAGTCATCCCTCCCCATCATCTGCACTAAGGACTTTCCTACCTTTTTGATCTTCCCACTCCGTGTGCCTGCAAAGACAACAGTTTGTCCTCTGTAGTCATAGGCAGCCACTGAGGTCATCCCATCCTCCTTATCCACAAAGAGTGGGGTCCCCTCGATGGTGACGGTCCCACCCAATGGTTGGTTAAAATCCTGGCCACAGAAATTGTCGTCGATCTGCAGCGGCTGTCAAAAGAAAGCAGAGGAGAGATGAGTTTTTAGCCAATGCCTCAATATGTTGGACCTCCCACATGGCCATCAGCCATTGCCCACATTCACCCCACAGCTACGGCCCCATCCCTTGCCCCCCCATCCCAGACATGGCACCTCACAAGACAAAGGAAGGCATCAGTTGATCCTTCCCTAACATTCCCTATGCATTGTTTTAAGGCACTCAGGACAGATCCACTGCATGCAGGCCCTCTCTACATCTGAAAAAGCTTTGTAGGCCAAGACCAAGTCTCTCTGTCCTCTGCATCTTACAGAGCAGCACTTACAAACTCAGCAGGAGCCAGCGCAGCATCCCTACTCCCCCTCCATCCCTGCTGCTGCTATCTCAGACATGTGGGATGCCAGCACTAGCTCCCCAGCACACACACATCCCTCTCCTCCTCATTCCAGTGCTAGCTTCAAAAGAAAACAGCTTGGCAGCAAGGCAGCTGGGGCTGAATCCTGCGCCCCAGCCTCCCCCTGGAGACAAAACACTTCCCAGCCAAGGCCGTGCCAAGGCAAACGAGTCGGGGCTCCTAAAAGAGCCTCGCTTCACACAGCAGAGCCTCCAGCAAACACTCTACCCACCTGCCAGCCCTGTTCCACCTCCCTCAGGAACGTCTTTGGGAAATCCCCACATTTTTTCCATGCTGCCTTGCCCCATACAAGGCTCCTGGCTCAGCCAGCTGCCTCCTCAGTTCAGCACAAGCCCGTGGGTCTGGGAGAAGCTTTTGCAAGCTCAGCCAAGGAAGAGGCAGAGGCAGGGCTGCACCGGCCCCTCTCCGTTCTCAGGGTCATGACAGCAGGGACCTCCAGCAAGGACAGTCCTGAGGATGGGAAAGGCAAAGCCAGAGGGATTGCCCCTGTGAAAGCTGAGATGCAGGCAGGGGAGCGGGACCAGGACCAGATCCACAGCACTCACCCCTACATCAACCATCCTCACCAGGTCACGCTCACCTGCTGAGCAAAACAACAGACCCTGGCCACAGCTATCTGGCCTGGGGGGCACAGGGGCTTCCCAGAGGTCCCACACAAGGCAAAAGCCTCACATGGTCACACAGCACCAGGAAAATACTCATCCTGTCCCAAGAAGGGGCTTCGGCCAAATCCGCAAGGGTGGCAGCGAACCTGGGTGCAGGAGGGTAGAGTGGCAAGGCAGGCATGACTGACGGGGAGACAGCCTGATCCAGTCACAGGATTCTTCCACTTCACAAGGTTCCTTATATAACTTTGAATTTTAAGGAGAGAGAGGTTTTTTGGCAAGCAGCAGCCTCCAAATGCATGCCAGTCCCCAAGGGGTTTTAAATCCATACAGCATGTGCATGGAGCATATGGGAAAATGCCGAGCTCCCGAGCTCCACGTACGCAAGGGCAGCACAGAGCTCTGTAATTCCCACTCATCGCTGCCTGGGAAGCAAGGGTCAGCCCAGACCAGCTCCCACCAACAACCCACAGTCACCCACATGGAGGAGAGAAAACACAGCACTTTTCCATGCCCCAGCACAATACACTCACAGCTACAACGGCATTAGCCTCCCACAGCCATGGCAACGCTGCTTGCCCTCCTCACTGTGCTGCCATGCCAGCTCCAAGGCCAGTGGTCCCACTCCCGGCTGCAGTGGGAACTCAGTGCCGTGCCAGCTTTCCAGCAGGGGAGGACAGGGAATGACGCCAGCCGGTCACGTTCAGCCTCCCTGGGCGGTCTGGGGATGCTGAGCTGCTTCCTCAGTCACTCTAACTTCTGGTTTTCCTGAATGCTGAGTTAAGGTAAAAAGATCAACTCCCTTCACCGCCTGACTGTTGCTCACCCTTCTCTGAACTGGGGAACTCCTACAGCCAGGCATGAGAGACGCGGGGATCCCCAAAAGAGGAACATGGGGAACCACGCGTCTCTGCAACCATAGGAAAAGCAGGGAAGAGGAATCAGGACCTCTCCACCCACCCTCTGAATCTCAGCCTTGCCCACTTCTATCCATTGGCCAACATACAGTTATGCATCCTCTTCTGCATAACCATGCTAGGAATTTTAAAACAGCAGATAAGAAAGAATTATCTTCCCAATCACGAATTGAGATGCAAGTGACGCTTCAGCCGATACACTGCTCCTATCCAACACCCAGGATCCCTCAGGTGCTTTGTTGGGGAAAAAACTCTGTCCCCAACAGCCCAAGTAAACACCAGCAGTAGCAGAGGGGTTAAGGGCAATGCTGTGAATGTATTTAAGCCCTGGCACCCCTGGGTGCAGGTTCTGCTCTCTCCAAGCTCAATCTGCAGCTTCCTCAACCCCTTGGCTGCTGAATATGCAGGAGGAGAGATGTTTACGGTGTTTACTGCTCTCTGCTTTGTCTCAACATACTCTCTGGGAAATGACAAATACAGCTGCGCTCCGGGACCGAGGAGCGCCCGCCGCCGCCATGCCGACACCACCTCGATAAATAATTACGCCGACAATTAGCTCATTAACGGCAAACTGCCTCGTTAGGGAAGCACAGGCGGCACAGCGAGGTCGGGCCAAGGGCAGCAGTACCGGGGTTATGGCACCCACCGACATCCCTGGCAGACGTGGGCTGCAGGGAGAGTTGAGGCAGAGGCATGGAAGGATGGAAGGACAGCGGGACAGCTGCCCCCTCAGCCAGTGCCGGCAGGGACCGACACGCACTATGGCATGCCAGGACCAGTGACCTTGCAGCGTTTCTGCCTGCAGATGCTGGGATCTGCAGGAGGCATCGGGGTCTGCTTGCTCTTGCATTTGCAGGGGTGTTTGCAGGGACCAACAGCCTCAGCCCGTTGCAAGGAGGAGCTGTTTGTTTTGGTGGTTTTTGGTGTGTTTTTTTAGTTACTTTTTCCTTTTTTCTGCGCTTTCCTTTGGCACCTCTCTCAGTTGCCTCCGCACTCCAGACACCCCAGGCCACCACCTGCACAGCACAGCAGTCTTCTCTCTCCCAGCACTAACCTGCCTCCCCAAAATAGGGTCAGGAAATTTGGGTTTCCTGGGGAAAGGGGCCGGAAGCAGGGGGAAAGCAGGCCCACAGCACTGAGCAAGCAGTAGTGGGCGTCTCCTTCACATGCCTTGTCTCATTGCCTCCCTTCAAGCCCACTTATGAAAGCAATGAGGTAGCAGACAGCACGCAAGGCTCGCATCACTCAGCATTATTAATTAGCCGGTAATTCACCAGTTAGCACCATTATAGGCTCAACTCATCCCCCTGTGCCCCTCCAGGGGCTGTGATGGAGGACCTGGGGGGATGCAAGGAGCCAGGGAGGAGCTTGCAGGAGGCCAGTACCAAGTGCCAGGCTGGGATGCCAGGCTTTTTGTGCATTAATCGCTGCTCAGGAATAATCCCAGTCTGGTACGGTTTGTTACCACCTGCATTTTTCTGGTTGCCCCAGAAAGGATTTGGCTTATCCCAGCCCGCTTTGGGCCCATTTGTCACCAGCCATTGCTCTGTGCCAGCAAGCTGGGCAGCAAACCCCACTGAGGGGTCAAAACTCATTTTCTCCCTGGGGCAGCCCACATCCCGCGTGCTCCAGGCACTGGCTCTGCCCACAGTCAGCCTGGGAGTTAAGGACTCCAAGAATCCTAAACAGCTCCTTGCTGCAACATCTGCACTCCAGCTCCAGCCTGCTGCCCTTTCCCAGCCCTGCTACACCAGACCCTCATCCCCCCCATTTGGGGATGGGCACAATGGGCAGATGTGCTGAGCACGTCTGGCCATAGGCACACAGACCCCCAGCCCTGCACTGTACAGGGGAAGAAAAGAGCCTGGCTCTTTTCACACAACACCAAACCCCTCTCAGTGAGACACTGCGAGCAGCAGAGCCTCTGGAGGGGTTCAGGAGTGACTTTGGCAGCAGGGCTGGTGTAGGGGAATGGACAGGGGGGTTCCACAAGGTGACTCTGCTGCATGTGCAAGTCCACGCTCAGGTCTGAGTACACCAGCAAGAGGGGTCTTGCTCCTGAGCCAGCTCACTGCCCTTCCTGCTGCCGGATCACTGGATCCCAGAAGGAGGGAGAGAGAAACGGGACACAGGAATTCACTTCACTCGCCAGCGCCAGAGAGGAACCACTAACATCTCCTGAGCTATCTGCCAAGCCTGGCAGCCTCTCCTCCTGGCTCCAACACCAACTCTGGAGAGTCAGAGCTACCCTGCAGCGCTGGGGATGAGCATCCCTTGGCCCTGTGCTGCTCAAGAACCGCGAGTGCAGTGCTGACAAAACTTCCTTCAGCATAAACCATGAAGGAGCGGAGCAGGAGAGATCCTTGCACATTTTCCATATGGATGGGGTGTAATTCCCAAGCAACTACTGACTTGAGCAATTGCATTCTGTCTCCTTCCAAATTAAAAAACAACATGCCCTTTATTTTCTGGCCAGCCCTCATCACTGAGAGATCTGTCACTGCCACCGTCCACCCCAGAGGTGGCTTTATTTTATTAGGGGCAAAGAAATTCCTACCAGAAAGAGGTAACATGCTCCAAGGGGTCTGTTTTGGCTTGTCCTCAGCAAGCTGAGGGCTTGACTCACGATCCAGTCATGTCTTTCCCAGCTCAGCCTGTCAGCCAGAGAAGGACAGGGACAGAAAACACTGCTTGGCTCCCCTGGAGGAGGGTGGCACTCTCCAACCCAACCCAGATGAAAGTAGAAGCATCTCCATCATGGCACACATCCTTCCACCCCACAAGAGCCACGTCTGCAGGACTCAGAGAGCACCTTGAGAGCCACCTGCTCACAGGGACTGGGCACCAGGTAGCAATCCCAGGACTCTCCAAGCCTAGAACCACCTCCAAAATACAGGGGGGCAGAGACCCCTCCCCAAACCCAGGGGACACAGCATGGGTGAGCCAGGAGCGCAGGAGGAAGCAGCGAACAACTCCGCCGCCGGAGCCAGCAGCTGCGCGACCCAACAGGCAGCAGTGTAACGATTTCATCATTTTCCAGCAAAATTGAATTAGTTCAAAGCCAGAATCTGATTTGCGAGCCCAGCGCTCTTGACAGCAAACCCTTTACTTTGTCAGGCAGCTGTTAGCTGTCTCCTCCAGAGCTGCAGGGAGGACGGTGGGAGAAACAGCAGGGCTGCTCCACAGGGCCCCCCTGCCCACCTGCCTGCACCCAAAACTCTGCTAGAACAGGGCTGGGGGCTTCGTGATGGGTGCCAAGCACCAGCAGTGTGGCTTGGGGGAGGTGGACAATAGCAGGTGTGTCAGGACTTCCACCAGACCCTCCCAAACACACACAGTGGTACCCCAAAACCTGCCTCAGCCAGACATCTGACCCTGCCTGGGGACTACACAGCCCAGCCTGGTGATACCAAGCCTACGACCTCCCTGTTACCTGGAGTTGTAGCCTCCTGCAACCACTCCTAGTTTATAACACTGCCAAGAAAAAAAGCAGTAACAGTGTTACTGCTCCTCTCTAGCACCTGTGCTCCTCTCTAGCACCCCACAGACAGGATGTGGTCCCTACATGCTAAACATCTGACTACTGCTGGGACTGCAAATCTCCCCACCTCCCTCCATCAGGTCTGCACTCCGTGTCCCCCAAATCCTATTGCCTCCAACACCTTCTGCTTGGCCAAGCCCCAGGTGACATGATGCTCAAAATTCCACGTGCCACCTGCAAGGGACTCCACAGTGGAGCTGCAGCAGATGCCCTGAGGACTGAGCATTCCAACCTCCCAGCCCAGCTAACTCTTATTCCCCAAATCCACAGGGAAGGGATACCAGAAACAGGCACCTGCATCAGCATGAGGCCCTTTCCTTGGGACTCTCCACGGGCACCGAATTCAGCCCAAATCCAGACAGCTGCCCCACCATGAAGCTGTGATCTCCACAAGGAATTCTACCAGGCAAACTGAGCACCCTGCTCCAATGGCACCAGTCCTCCCACTGGGAAAACACAGCTCAGGTCAGGTCACTGGGAAGGGTCCAGCCAGAGAGCACCAGCAGGAGCCAGAAACAGTCTGGCCTGAGTAGAGGCAAGCAGGAACTTACCGAGTTGATGCAGCCCAGCTCCTTATTCAAGAGCCAGGGCAGTGAGAGTTTCCCTTCCCCTCTGTAGCACGACTGGATACGTTCCTTGATCTTATCCTTGATCTTCTTCAACGTGAAGAGGCAGAGCACAGACTCCTTGGGAGGCTTAACCCTGTTTTTCTGGCCCTGGGAGAAGATGGTGAAGAGGATATCCTCCTGCTCTGAGATGCCCAGGTATTTGGCCAAAGCCTTGCCAGGCTTGGTCAGATAGGCGTCCTGGATCAGGCGGTACTCGATGCCGTCCTGCACGCAGCCAATGGGGAACTCCACGTAGGAGTAGAACTTGGGATCGTCCACGCAGAGGCGGACGATCTTGGAGGTGAAAAACTGCTCCCCAGTGGAGTCGGGAGAGGTGAGCTGGGTGTCCAGCTGCAGGGTCAGGTAGTAAACAAACTGCTCACTGCTGAAGCTGTAGATGTAGTAGATATCAAAGGTGGGGAACTTGGAGAGTGTATCCGAGGGGATTTTGAGCTGCGAGGAGACAAACTCATCCTGGTAGACAAAGCCAAACATCTCTGCGTTCTCCTCGTTGGCCATCAGCTTGCGGCTGGAGAGGGTGGGGAAGTACTCTGACTTCCCATCAATGGGCGTCCCAATAAAGAGCTTGTTCTGCCCATTCAGCACCTCGATGATGACCCCAGACATGGTGCCTGACTCGTTGACGCTGGAGAGGTAGTGCTCCTTGCGGTGGTGGGGCTCACCCAACTTGAAGAGGTCGTCCAGCCGCAGGAACTGGCAAATACCCTGGGAGGCACTGCCGCAGGCGATCAGCCGATTCCCCGAGTAGTCCACCAGCAGCAATTTGTTCACGTTGTTGGTGGTAACCAGCCCATGCGGGCAGGACTGAACGCTGGGCGGAGGGTAACACTTCTCATTGTCCTCCACGGGCCCCGTCACGTGGGTCCTCAGGAGCGTGAGGTTATTGGAGAGCTTGTAGATCCGATTGACAGCCCCCACGTAGACCTCCCCGGTTTTGTTATGGACCACCAAGTGCGTCAAGCTCCAGTCTGTAACCGGGAAAGTCCTAAAGGGAGACTTGGGGCTGCCTTCCGCCAGCGGTAGCCAGGTGCTCCCCAAGAGCAGCAAGGTCCAAATGTGGATGGACAAGTGGTGCTTGAGCCAAATGAGCCACATCGCAGCAGCCTCACATCCAGCCAAGGCCATGCCCAAACCCAGCCAAAAAAATAAATAGAAACAAACCCAAACTAAAGGGATGAGGGAGGGAGGAGGAGCTAACGGGACACAGTCTCCTCTGCTTCTGCTGCGCTCGGCATTCAGGGCATCGTGGGTACTGCCAGTCCGGTCAGCCCTAGAGGGAGAAAGACAAGAAAAGTAGGGTTAGGAGGCTTTCCTGCACAGTGTCAAGCCTGTTCCACCCCACCCAGCAAAGACTCTGATGCTTCACACTTTTCTAGCAGGCAGCCTAACAAAACATCCCCCACCACCTCCTGCTCCAGAAAGACACATCCCCAGTGCAGGGACCAAGGAAACCTGCAGGATGCCAAGGACAACCCTGCCTGGTCACACACCGCTGTGCACTGCATGTCTCAACCAAGGAGCTGCCACGCACCTGGTTATCACCATCCCAGACTCAACCACCAGCCCCACCAGCCAGTAGCCCCTCTAATGGGGGTCACTCTGCCCTCAGCCCCACTCAAACCCCCTTGGGAAGAGCAGCAGCTGCCTGAGCATGCTGGCAGCCGATGCCTGATGATGTGCTCCGGTACACCTACCACATACAAACACCCCAGAGGGGCACAACTGGCCCTGACCCACTTTTAAGACCACCAGCAGCACTAAGGTGTTAGCCAGGGACGGTTGCTAACAAGCCTCGAGAGGAGCTCCTGGCCTGCTGCCCCTGCCCCAACTCCACCACAGAGCTGGGAGCGGATGAAAAATCCCTGTTAGCAGCAAGCACAACACAAGCCCCTGCACAGAGGAGGCTCTCAAAAGCACCTTTTAAAGGAGTTGAGAGAGTAGAGAGCCCTGGCATGCTGCCCACCATCCCTGCCACCTGCTTGCCTGACATACCCCAGGAGGGCTGCAGGCAGGAGGGATTGGAGGGAGCAAGCAGGCACAGCAAGGAGAAGCACGTCCCTCTGGCATTTCTGTGCATTAGGAAACACAGGGCCAGCCATCAGGCAGTTGGCTTGAGAGGCTCCAGAGGAATGAGGGGGCACATGCAGGGAGGATGGAGAGCTCTGCCTCCTGCTGTGCCACAGCTGGGGCTCACCTACGTGGAGCAGCAATGCAGCAGGGAGCCAGCCAAATATCCCAAACCAGTGTGACCTTTGCATCCTGGCAGTGGGGAGGAAACCAATGCACAGCTCTGCTCTCCCCAGTCCCTTCTTTACAGCCCCCCTTCTCGATCCACCCTCTCTGCAGAGGCAGAAGAACCCCTGGACTAGCATGGGGTTGTGCAAACTGCCCTGCCAGCACACGGCCCATCCTACCATCACAACCCATCCACCCAGGGCGGGACCATTGTTCCCAGGTCCATGGACAGAACACCAGCTCAGTTCCCCAGCCACTGCAGATAAACCGCTGCAAGAGGGAGCTGAGAAGAAAAGCCTCCCTCTCTCCTCCCTCTCCTTATCATCCATCTCTGACTCAGCCCAGGATAACCTTCAGGAGAATCCCCAGCAGGGAGTGGCACAGGTAGGAAATATGGCCTGCGGCGACTGGCAGCTCTGCCAGCATCCCAGACCGGGCAGGGCAGGTGTCAGAGGGCAGCCAGTTGCACACACCGTATCAGTAGGGCTGCCTTGGGCTGAATGGTTGCCCCAGCCTCGGCAGCCTGCTCTTGGCAGGGCTGTGGGGCCACCAGCCAGGCCACATGCAAACCCTGGGGGCTGCATCATCACCAGGCCAGCAGCTGGGCCATACACGTACCCTAACATGCCATACAACATCCTTCAATTCTGCTGCTCCCTTCTCAAGGCACATAGCCACACAGGAAGAGGTCTGAGAGAAGGGAGAGAGAGCCTTTTTTTGCCCCTTTTCCTGGTCCCAACAAGACCTTGAGACACCCCTCTCCTTTCCCAGGACAAGCTCAGCCTTGGTCATCCCTGCATCTCTGCCAGCTCCACTGGGCCACCAACACTTTGGGCGAAGCTTCCACATCACTTCCAAACCCCCTCGGCAGATCTGCCATCTCCACCAGGTCTCCTTTGCCCACACACTCTCCACTCTGCTCCCTTACACGCCCCAACACATCCACCTCCAGGGTAACAGCCTCAAAAGTAACAGCCTGAAGGAATGTTTGGACAACAGCGCATGAGCAACACTGAGACCAAAGCCAGGTGCCACAAAGCTCCAAAGGTACAGAGACAATCAAAGCATCAGCCCTGGAAATCATCCCCATGGTGCTAATCCCCCATTCCTAAAACCTTTTCCAACACTGGGAGCCAAGAGCAGATAGTCACAACACTGTCAGGGCAAGACTTGCTCCCAGAGGACACCCACACTGCCCAGCATCTTCATTATTCTGAGTTTGTTGGTAAGAGCAGAACCACAAGCACCTCAGATCAGAGCTTATTAGCCCCAAATAAGGTGTGGGGCCGAGGTGTGGGAGCAATCAGTGCTGTCAGCACAAACCCACTGGTTAGCTCAGAAAGCCCCCAGCCCAGCAGCAGCAGGCAGTGCGGTTTATTGACAGAGGGAACTGCCAGAGGGCAGTTTCCCACCCCAAGAAACTGGCACAGCTCTTACCAAGCCTGTGGTAAGAGCCCCCATGTGCTGAGCCCCTCCAGCAACAGTATGTCCAGCTGCCTGTCAGGGAGATCACCACCAACAGCAAACTCACACTGCAGAGGGAAGGAGCAGGGAAAGCAGTGGAGCTGACAGTGGGAGCTTGGTGCAGTGTGGGGATGCCAGCTGGAGCATCATCCTGCCATGGAGAGAGAGCAGGACAGGAAACTTCTTTCTTGGTGCGTTTCTATGATTCACTGCTTCTATTTTAGGAAGTGGGTGAGAGAACTAGAGGTCGATCTGCTGCCACAAAGCAGGGCTAGAAAGCCCAACAGGAGATTCCCAAATTAACGTAGGGAACTGCAACTCAGAAGCTGGAATGAGAGCAAAGTGAGGCAGAGCTGGGGCGAGCCGAGAGATGACACTCTGCAGAGCTCCTCTGAGATTTCTGCTCCTAAATATACTACAGCAGCAACATCTCGTCCTAGTGACCTGACACCAGTGGTGGTTTTGTCCAGTCCTGCTTACAACCATCACCAGCAATTATTAAAAATAAAACTGCACAAATGGTTAGTTTGTCTGCTTTCTTTGGAATTCAGTGACATGGATTCCTGAAATTTGGATCGAAATAAAGCAGGGCTCAAGCCCACCATGGTGGAGACAGCAGGAAGCCCTGCACCAGAGCATGGGTGTCTGCACAGCCCCAACTCCCTGCCGGGAGCAGTGGTCAAAGGGCATTTCCCTGCTGTCACACAGCCTCCAAGTCCCACGGGGAGGTCACGGTACAGCAAACGGCAGGGCAGCTCCTCCACTGGCACGCTCTTGAAACCACACAGCACCCAAACCCCCAGGGGCTGCACTCAAGCAGCACCTTACCCCAGGGAGGACACAGCCCAGGGCCGCCACATGAGTGCCACCAGGAAGTGAGACCCGCACTGCACACACCTCCACTGCGGTCCAAAGGCACGGAAAACCCTGGGCAGACACCCTGGAGCCAAGCCCTGCCCTGAAACATGCTGCAATAAAATAATACACCCCAGCCCAGATGCATGAGTGCCAACAGGGAGGGTAGGACCAGAAATACACCCTGCTAAGCTGCCTGGGCGGCAAGTGATGCAGCGCAGAGCATCCTGCAGGGCCGAGCATCCGCAGGGCTCACCCCACAGCGGGGCCACACCGCCGGCGAGCCAGCACAGCAGGCTCATGTTTTGTTTTCCATGCACACACACACACATATATACACACACAAACATATATTTATAGCAGGAAACCTGCTGTCAGAAACAAAGCCAGCACAAGAGGCCAAACTGCCCCAGCCCCTTTCATCCCACACTGGAAAGGACATTTGCTCACGGTTTCACCTCAAAGTGGCCACATTGAGACAGTCACAGCTGCTGCACAACTTGGGTAAGGCTGCCCACCTCACTGCAGCCAACACTCACACGCCTCAGCTTCCAAAAAGCCTTTCAGCAACAAGCCACGGACATGCCCCACGGATGCCTGCGCCCCATTCACTGGCTGCTGAAGAGGTGGCAAGGGGCATCAGCACTCATCCTCCAAGGCTGAGAGTTTCCTGGTCCTGCAGTATGCCCAAAAACCTGGGTTTGGGATGGGAGATCATGCTTTGGGAAAAGAATCATCACTTTTGATAGCACAAAGTAGGAGTACTGGGATGGAAAAAGTAACCTTAAAAGGCAAAGACTGGACAGAGTATTAAGGACCAGCTCTCCACTCATCCAGGCAGCAAGTCCAAAGTACTGACAATGCTGAGCCGTGGGCATTAGCCTACAAGGTAGCAGCCCTCCTGGGAACACCCAGAGACAGAGTATAAAACATGCAGAGGAACATAGAGGTGGACTCACAGGCTCGCCTTGTCATCCCTGCTACTGTATCAGCAAGATCCCACGTGTTTCCTCCCTGAAAACCACCCCAGAACTTTACAGTCTTGCACTTTACAAGGGAGGCTCGAAGAGAGAAGGCATGGGATTGAAAATCCCAGACCCCAAAACCGACCCCAGAAAGGGGTAATGGCATCTAATGGGCCTTTAGCTGTAATCTCTCCACGTCAGTTGCTGCTCTCAGCAATAAGAAACAGTCAAGAAGGGACCAACTTTGAGCTGCCAGTAATTAGGAAAGGGGAGAGAGGGGAGACTATCCAGGGGAGAGAAAAGCCTGCAGGCCACAGGAGAGGTAGCCTCACCATACAGCTGGTGTATTTTTAGGTTCATCTGCCTGGGAAAAGCCTTGCAACAATGAGGAAAGCCTGGTGGTGGTAGAGTTAGAGCTGCACTAAATATGCAATCTCTGCAACGGGGCTAAACTTTAACTCCTTCCTTCACCACACACAGTCACTGAAAGCTATTTGTCTGGGGTCTCTCCTTAGCCAGCAGTTAAATCATTATGAATCTTATCCCTGGCTCAAACCACACCCTGATGAAATCAATGGCAGGCTTTGAAGCTGCCCCAATGCTGCAATCTCCATTACTATCACTCAATCAGGAATATCTTTAGGATCTTCAGTTTTTCCCCAGGCAGGGGGCTGGGGACCCTGTCCTGCCCTGTCACTGCAGCGAATATGGGCACAGCAGCTTCTGCTCCGGCCCTGCAAGGATCTTCTGG